ATTTTAGGGATTAAAAAGCACCCATGTCGTTAAGATTTTCTGGAGTAATTAGAGGATGTTAAGCAGTCGACCTCAATCTACGCCATAGTAGGCTTTAATCAAGCACGTAAAATGCAAACATCTGGAGACACCCATGAACATAAAAAATATGATTGTATGCATCTACGGATGAGGTGCACGACGCTGGATACGTAAAGTTCTTCTACAAAGAAAATTTTCCGTATCATTTGTTGAATGTTCAGTTGTGCATCCACCTTAAACATAAAAAAAAGGCCGGATTATAATATGGTAAAAAAGGGCTGTAAATAAAATGCATACCCAATCCAATATAAGTTGAATTGACAAAAATTAACTTGAACTTTTTACGTCTAATGGGAACAATTTGCATAATGAAGGATTGAAAAGTGCTTCCTGATTATTTAGGCAGAACCACGCTAACTTAACAAAGGAAAATATTAATTGCATCAAAAACTAAAGGCATAACTGATATGAATAGTATTAATTGCATAAGGATATCAAAGATTACAAATTTATGTGACCTTAATCAAGATTGTTGGATCCATATCAGACGCCACCCAGAACTCACATATACGGTACGAACGACATTTTTTATAAGAACGAGCATCATATTTTCACGCTTTTACTTCACGAATAATCGCACGATACACATCGTAGCCATGTAAAGCACTGCCACTAAAAACAAAAAAAAAGAATTAGACAAAGTACACAATGTTCAATATTTCCGCACAGTGCCCGTGCACGTTTTGGTAACAGTTCAACAAAATGAAACTATTTCGGCATTTTTGATAGGTTCGTAGGTAGCAGATATGAACAAAATATAGAATTGCTTGTATTTGTGCCCAAACGTGACCCCGAATATTAGTGTGGCAACTGAATAGCACTTTTGAAGTGTTATTTACAAAAATAGACAACAAAAGAATCAGAATAATATTAAAAAAAAAAATGCTTACTTAATAAATAGGTCATAAACACATGCGGACACAAGCACTAATCAGATATGGCACCTTCCAACGTTCGTGCAAAATTATCTAAACTACGTTCTTATATCTAACCAACGTATTCTAATAATAACCGCTATGATATACATATGTACGCATTATATAAGCAGTGATTAGAAGAACGTTTTCTCAACTTTGCCACAATCATAGTTATGATCCCATTGTGTCTATGGATTGTGGAAACCGCATAATAACATATATGATGAACAAATTTTAAATTAACTTAAGCAGAGCGTGACTTTTGAGCACCTATTAACTCCCTTAAAGGTTGTTGTGTCAACCGCTGCTTATCGCTACTTGCATTACTTGTTTTTAACGAAATAAACACGGCAGAGTAGATTTTCTGTGAATTGTCTGAAATGGAAACAAAGATCGACTTGATTCAATAAATAGCCTATAATAAAGTAGAAAAATGTTACAGACAGACAGACAACAGAAACTTTTTGGAAAACCGAATATCTCACGACGCATGTCGTCAGTCCGTATGTGGAATATTACAATCTTATTACTGGACACGTGAGATGAAATTGGGTTATTCATGAGTCCATTAGCTCAAGCAGTACATCAGAACCCTAGGGAATTACAATAGATACATTAGTCTAGTACAAATCCAATAAGTTGCCAGATAAACGCCTGAGTCCACCACCATCTTTGTAACGAACAGTGACATCTGATGGCTTATGATGTATCACTTTTGCTGTCACTTTATTCACCACTGTAGTTACTCTTGTTTTAGAAACTGAAAAACAACTGCAGACAATGCTTTGTAATTGATAGCAAAATCTTTTTCTGGTTAGCTTTCGGATATAACATAACATGCTAACAGCTCAATAAACATTTATCACACTTGAATATACAGTTTTTTTTCCGCTATGATTTTTTATGATACCTCAACTTCTATATTACTATACGCATCAGGCATGGCTCGACTGTGAACGCAACGTGTATAATCATGACGTTATATATTATTCAATGACTAAGAGCACTACTAGTAGGCGGGTGTCACTCTACTATTCGTTAGCATGGAAAAAACGACAAGATCTGTTCGGAACTACTGCAATAACGCACCTCAACAAGCAAGAAGAGCCAGAGTTGTTCCAACTCATTAAGCGATCGTTTCTCTCTTCACTGCTTTTTTGGCTTTATTCCCCGAATCATATTCGCCGTAGCAGACATGCTGACTTCGCGCACAAACTTGCCACACTTACCCATACTTCTCTCTGTTCTTCTCTGCTTGAACTAGATCAGCCGAAAAAACTCTCGGATGCCAGTACAAGCAGAACGACAACGAAAAGGACGAAGAGCAAAAGAAAAAAGCGAGTGACCGATTGGAGTGATGGAGATAACCCTTTGGGCGAACCCCATGCCGTTCCTATGTATGCCCTCTCTCCAACTTCCATTGAGCAATTCAAGCTATTGACATTTACATTGAAAAGAGGAGGGGGCAAATCGAAGCAAGCAAATCGGTCTGTCATCTGCTGCCGCAACCGCACTGCCAAGGGTAACGGGGGCAGTGGGGCTTTTCTAGGCAAAAGAATTCGTAAAGAGTCGAAAAGTCGACGGGTGAATGAACGAACCAACGTCGGCAAAGATCATATATTCTATATTCATGGAGCGCTGCTACTGTACCAGTTTCCGCCATTGGCTCCAAGCCACTACTACCGCTTACATTCTACCAAGCTAGCAGAGCAGCAAGCAGACTTGGTACGAATTCGGGCCTGGACCAGATAAGTCAATGCGAAGTTGAGCCACGAGCAGCGTGAACAGCCCAAGCGCATAGCTTCACCGGCCAGTTACACCTTCCACATTCAACTTTTTATTACGACCCAAGAAGCAGCGACGTCCAACCCTATTTTACTCACCAGAGGGGTAAACTCAACGGTGCCCACACACACGTTCCCCTCTCACCTTCCCGGCTGTGCCTCGATATCTCCCAAAAGGAGTACAAATCGTGCAAATGCTATGCAAGAGCCAGGACCATATTCAGGTCAAGCCGTTATCCCGTAGTGAAAGGCTAGGTTGGCGTTAACGAATGAAATCAGCGTGAGCTACCGAGTAAGCGCCAAGCAGGGGCTTGAGACTCATGTTCACAGCTCATCACTTTCCTTCCACATGTTAGACAAACGCTAGCAAAGCAAGATTTCTAGCTGCCTTTCGTGGCTCGCTTTGTCTTTTTCGTCACCATCTCTATGGCGACAAAAAAGGCAACTGGTATCAATTCGCGCACGTAGTTGAGGTCGCGTACGCTCCAACTATGTAACTTAGACAAACATACAGATACACGTCCACGGTCCATACTTTGGCTGTACTGTCGTAACTTCTTAGGCTTTATGCTTCGCTCCCATTAGTAAAGAAAACCATATGTAGATCTATGAGAGTCAAAAACTGTTTTTTACCTTTGTCCGTGTCTGATGCTTAGGCCACTCGAAATAACAGAGTACCATGTGGACGTCTGCCGTTTTGACCGTTCTTCTGGAATGGTAAGCCACTTGCGCAGTTATTGCGTGATCTCCTGCAAACCGTTTGAAGACATGGCACGACGACAAAATCCCTGGAAGAAAAACAAACTTACAAGTCTCCTATCTAACCCCGATACTGAAACCAAACTACTACTGTTTCATTCGAACAAACAGACATATGCATTGTTTCTCAGCCTTGAAGAGCTCCTGGACAAACCTAATTTACTCGACGTAGATCTATGACTGAAACTGCGCGAAGCTTTACCTATAGGTCCCGATCACCACTCCCATTCTGCTTCCCTTTACGTCCAATCCTCATCGCTTCACATTTCTCGACGTGCACAGGCCTCTGTTTCCTGTGATTCTCTAACCCTTACCGTCAATACCATGCTTCGCACCTGGTCGGGTCGTTCCGTCGCATTACACAACGAAGTTGGCACAAAGCTGCCGGCGTCGCCACCTCTTCCGTAAAGCAAGCCGTCCCCCTGCTGCAGTCATGTTCACAGCTACTATCCTACTAAATCAACCAGTTTTTCCTTCGTGGTTTTGTCTACAGCTGAGGGCGATGCGTGCCTAGGAGTGCCACCTTTGCTGGGCGCCGCCTTTCATACGCTAATAGCTCTGCACAAGCGACAACCAAGTAATACCATCAGCATCAGACGTAGCTATTGGAAAAGCAGAAAGATTGATTGGTACGTTCTGGATCAGACATCGGAGGGAAGCATTTCAAGGCCCAACGATAATAGTTCGACCTTTTCACTAGCACTACTTCAGCCTCATTCCAGCTGTTTCGTACCGTACCCGTGAAAAGTAAGCAGACAAATCCCTCATCCACGTCGACTCTTGTAAAAGCCATGTATCGCACACCCCATAGTTCAACGTATGATTACGCATTCGCAATCCTTAGCGTACCTACCAGATCTGAAGTCCCGAACAGCAATTTCCCACCCACCTTTGTGTTTTCTATGGCGTCGACGTCGCCTCGTAGTAACTCGTTTCTGCATAATTTCTTTCGCTCGTCTACCTAACGCCCTTTATCTATGCTTAACAAGTTCTACCTAATCCCAAAACGAATCGCTACCAAGCAAACTTTACTCCAGCTATATTCGCACTGCGTAATGCTCATAAGCTTTACCTCACATTGTGTTCTTGAATTTCTGGTATGGTATTTTCTACCACGTAATTTGTCGGCCACTGTTGGCCTTTGTTTTTTTTTTTTCTAGACTCCGTATTTTGGGTCTAAAATGAGAGGTGTAAGCATTTTTTGCTTTTCGAGCACACGGTCGGTAACCAGAATTTAACAATTAAAAAATTGTAAATGAAAAACGCTATTTTTCTATTTACTCCGTTTTATTTTCCTTATTTATTATTTCTTGTTTGAAATATTGAGGCGTTGACTTGCTTGGAGCATGTTCCATTTCAGAGAAATTCTCCGACTGGCATAACTCCATTAAGTGGTTGATTTCGTACGCGATTGGCACCACTTTGGTAAAGCGGGCTATTTATTTCGATAGAACTACCATTTAAATTTACAAAAGAGGCTTATACTCCAGGTTTTATTTATAGATAGATAAATGTACAGAAAGCAACTAACACCTCTCGTGAGGTTAGATGACTAGATTAATGTGCAAACGTAGTTTTATAGATGGGTCACATTGTGAATGTAGTACCTTGAACTGTAACAGAATACCGTGATATATCGTAAGGTTGCTACGCTGTACGCGACAGTTACACCTCACATTACAATGTCCCAAAGTTAAGGGCATTGAGTCGTTGAGGGGCGAGATTTAGGTTTAAATTAAAATTTATATATATTCACATTTGTAGTTTTTGAAATCTGTTCATGCAATGACAACAAAAACCCTGAAACATGAAAGTAATGATCACAGCCTTGAAAATAAGCTACGTCGTATACCATTCGGCAGTATAATCTTTGTACCCGTTTATCAAACAGTGGCTTTGGTTTGACTTCAATTTCAGTTCCGTCAGCTGAAAGCCGGACTCGAAATAACAGCTCTCGTAATATCGACGTTAGTTCTGTTGTTTCTTTGTACAGGCAAATACAATAGTTAGTACATTGTATTCATTTGATTCGTTTTCCCATTGGCTTCAGTCAAAGAAAAAGCCACACAGCTAATAAATTTGAACCGTCAATTATCTGTTTTATATATCAATCAATTGACTGATTTACGGTATTCTCATGACACGACTAAATACTTCGCATGCATACAATGGCAGTTTCAACATCAGTCCGTAGTGTTTCGCTGTGGCCCGTTCTCGTTCCCAATGGCAACAACATCGTGAACCCATTGGTACACTGTCGTCAACCTAATGGCATAATAGTGATTGCACTTATATCAGTACAATAATACTGACACTCCTAGAGTTTAGAAGGATCATGTTCGTCAGAAGACGACGGGAAGACCACCGATGGCGTTTCGGTATGTAACGTCGTCTCACTCTTCGTCCTCTAACTCCTCCAATAGATCCACATACGTAGATAATATATTGAGGTGAAGCTGCTTGAGCTTGCTAAGAGGGGCCAAGCTAGGTTTGTCTCGGCCCGATTCGGGCCATTTGGGATATACATGCTGGCATTACGACGAAAGCCGAAATGTGCTGGAGCTGCTACTACCGAGCACCACTGATGGCTGCGAACGAAGCCATAGTGCATGGCAAGCAGGAGCAGCAGCAACCCTAACGGACTCGCAGCCAGCCGCGATGGTCTCTCGTGGCTTAGCGATAATTCCTATCGATGACGTGGCATGGTAAGCCAAGACAACTAGGCAGTTAGCCAGCGCTTCGGCTTACCCGTGGTATGAGGCACAGCTGACCACTATGTCCCTCTCCGCTCAGTCTCGTGATAGACCCTCGTGGCTACAGAAGAGCTGAGACGATGCTGCCTCCCTCTGTACAAAGTCGTTAAATGCCAACGCTCGAGGGGCTGCACCTTTCTCACTCGGCTCGGTTGTTGTGAAAGGAACTGGACACTAAACAAAATAACAGCAGCTCCAAGGGCAGCTGTCAATGCCTTTGCGATATAGCCCTTCCACTGCCTGCCATCTAGCATGGTCTGACTAACTGTTTGGTAAATAGCAACCACTCTGTTTACTGTTGTCTTATGTTTGATGATTGGCTTCGGGAAACTGCCTTGTTGGAAGCAGAGCAACAGAAGATTGAAACGTACAAAAAAGTTTCTTGGAAATGGTTTGCTGTGATTTGGTTGAGAACGTTACTAGTTAACTTAGGATTTTCTACGCTTATCGTGCAGCGTCAATGTTACCCCGTAATAAGCGAGTTTTTGATAAACAGCCGAATCACACAGTGAACGAAACACTGGTTTATGGAAGCGTCTTGCTTCTATTGAGAAATATAGCTGAGCTGATTACGTTGACGGATCACGGATGGCTAATGGAGAAGTACGTAGAAGAATACGTTGAGTACGTAACCAATCACTCTGTTTGTAGATGGGTAGTTGTAGATGTGGAACTATGAGGCAAAAGCGCCAAGAGATGCCCATAAAAAACGTCGGCAGAAGAACGTCATCGACACTACTTCGGAACCCTGAGTTATTCGTGTGTACGCCTGAAACGATCATTAATAGATATCGTTACTGCACCAGCTGGCCCCAAACCCAAAAAAGTGGTGTTAGGGCTAACAACGCAAACCCAAAGTGGTGTTAGGGCTAGCAACACAAAGTTGAAGTCTGTCTGGAATAATGTTAAAATAACGTACATTAATATAATAAGACACTAACAAACAGGACTGATCAAAGGAAAACCATTTAAGACCTCGTACTACAACAGTAAAACTTAGACACTAACAAGCGGGATTGATCAAAGGGAAACCATTTAAGACCTCGTACTACAACAGTAAAACTTAAGATACTGCAGTGATAAGCGGAGTTATCTCGAACGTCAAATGTGCTGATCACGTGTCCACTTAACGTAGATAAGAGGCGTGGTCGTTCCTTGGTACTATGCGCTAATAAGTGAAATATAATCGCAACAGAAAGCAAGCATAAATAAATTGTTCAAAGACAACTGCAAAAAAAGAATGGTTATGCTGTTTTGCAAAAGAATAAACCTACTTGTTTTGTTAAGAGCCTCTTCCGTCTCGTCAAACGTCCTGTGGGTGAGAAATTTGCGATTGCTCCTAATCGGATCCCGGAACAGTCACGCGGTACTTACAACCCACCGTATTTTCACTTATGTAACCGTTCACTTAAACGCTGTGTTTATCAAGCGGGCATTTGCTTCAGTCTTCGAAACCTTTAGATACCTCCGCGGGCGACTGGCACCTCCAGTGCGACATCCCCAGACTGTAGCTCCAGACCTCGGCAGTGGTACGTACATTACACAGTTGGCAGTCTGATTAGATGTGGCAAGTTAACTAAGTAAATTACTGGTTTCGCCAGTAACGCTTCAAAAGACAATCTTACGCGGCGGTTACGCGTCGTAGCCTCGACACTCGGATCATGCAAGTCGAAAGATCACGTAGATCGAGATTCATTCATCTACAGTTCATCCATAGGGATGACAGCGAATTACGACGGAACGAACAGTTTCTCTAACTCGGGAGGACTGACTGATACGTCCACATCGCGAAACGTTCCAAGATGCAGCGCTGGTATCTATTTTTTTTTTGAACAGGGATTACCTGCTTTTCGCATTAATTTTGCGTTTGTTTTTCTGGTATTGTACCTATGCTGTTACTTCAGCAAGCACTCGTGTAGCTGGGTTCAAATTCGCAGCGGTGTCTCTCCTCTTGAATCTCCGACGGTCCAATGAAAACATACCTATGAAAAACGGATTCTAACGGTAGATTCCGCACAAAGCACAATACACCCATTCTACCTACTCGCTACCTTACCCCCCCCCCTCCCCACATATATATACACTTATATATCTTACCCCTTTATATATATATATATATACACTTCCTCTCCCCTCATACATATATATGCTTGAATATGATCTGCTTGGAAAATACTATTTTGCAAACGATACTATCCCGTATGTCAGCGACGCAGTTGCCTTTCGCTGTCTCTTCAGACTGCTCAATGCCTGATTCGTTCGATACTTGACTCGAACAAACCAGTAATGCACAAACGGTATATGACTAATCGTCGTCTGACGTTAGCATGCGTGCTTCCTGCGTGAGTACAGACGGAAATTTCCGAATTTCAAGTAAGAGTTTCTTAAGATGATCACGATACTAAATAAACCATTCGACAGATGCTTGGCAAAAGAGATCATAACAATTCAGTAGATAAACATAGAATTTTTAATATATATATATATGTTATATGATATCCAACTAACCGCATCACACGAGTAGCGAAAGCCGGTATGGTGATGGCCTACTATTCACTCAATTGTAAGGTAGCTCATCTCGTATCTGTTGAACTGCAATGAAAAAGTTCAGCTTCGCTAAGATGGTGTCACAATCCAATCCATTTCGCTGTAACGGCGTTTTGCAGAGTCCCCGATTGCACTGTTGCACATTCCACGACCCCTGAACCGCTAAACAGCATCAAATTTACGTTCCCCCCTCACTAAATACTTAGATTTAGTATCTAGTAACGATTAGTCTATACGTGCTCATAATCAAAATGAGGGTGGCTAACTGCTTCGCATAGCTTCTGAATATGCTAAATTAACGACTAATGTGTCGCGTGCAGATAGGCAAATTTCGTACGAAGAGACAATTACCATAAGGAGTTCATCAATGGTAGCCAAATGGTTTTCCGCAATTGTGCTAGCCATGGTACCATAATCCAGGTAGGACACGCAATGTTGGTTAGATTAAGCTGAGAACAGGCTCAACGATGGATGAATTTTTCATACTTCTGCCGATTATCATGCCGTGTTATCATTACGCACTTTGCTATTTAGTTGTGAGGTAGTCGCTTGCTTTCATTGAATGGCCAATGACGATGTAGAGGTATAGTGCAATAAATGCTTTCCAATGCGACTTGAGGCGATTCGACATGACATTTGGTATTTAGCTTTAAATGAACGCGCTATTCACTGGGGACGTTACGGCAGAATAAGCTATAGAGGATTTGCTCTTGAGAATCGCCGATATCACACTCGACCTGGACTACTGGCCTATCGATACAGCTACGCGTACTGTACACTTTGGTGGGATCACGAATCGCCAAGCCGGAGGTTAAAACTTGCACTAATCGAACAACTAGATCCCGAGATGTAATTATCTTTGCTGATTAACGAGAAGGAGTCATTTCTGCAGACTCGAAGCTTTGTACTTGCCAAATAACTGTTCAGGTAACGGTGGCTAGAGTATCCAAGTACGAAGTATAGGGATTGAGCAAGATGCCGGACAATAGGACGAAGGTCAATGGCAAGCGCTTATAACTGGCACGAAACGCATTATGAATTAAGTGCCGATCAGTTTTGCACCTGCCTGTTCATATTTTGATACCGGTATTTTAACGGGTTTTGAACTCAAAGATCTTGCGTAACTTTTGAGTTAGTTTTACGGATGGATGAAAAGGCAAATTAATATTGCATATTAGCAAGTATGGTCTTTCCGGTTCGGCTCGTTCAATGACAGTTAATTATAAAGCCGGTCTCCATGAAAGCTCAAGACAAGGATGAATCGCTGAGGAGTTCATGCGGCAGCGACGGTCCTAAAGAAGTAGATATACGTCACTCAATTTGAACACTCGCCTGCGGTAAGTTTGACATTTATGAGCAATTCCTCTAGGCCTCGTAAGATAAGATTCTTCGATGGTTTCAGTCGATAATTTGTAGCGGTCTCAATGTAAAAGCAGCTTCCATTAGATGAACCATGCACATAAAATCCGCCTTCTCTTTGTTCTCTTTGCTATTTATAAATAGTAGCCTGGGTGATGTATTACTTGTGAAGTTGTGTTGTAAAGCGGCGCCACCCGATATCCATTCTTTCATGTAGCTAAGGATAAAAACAACTGTACATGTATTGCTTTGTTCACACGGTTAAGCGCCACAGCACACTTACATATGCGACACCCACCGGAGAAAACGAGGACATCTGACCTAGATAGAACTCAGTAGATTTTTATGTTCCCCGTATCCTCAAACCCTGCCTGCAGTATGATGCGCACTCTGTCGAAGGACCCTTGGCACCTGCCAACCATTGCATCTTGCCGACGTAGCAACCAATCGACACTACGAGTGACCATTAGGTGAAACATGGAGCGTGTTAAGAGACGTATCACGTTGTGAGCCATAAGGATACTAGGCACTAGCATTAATAACTACTATCGCCTTTGCAACGTGGCTCTATTACAAAGGAAGTCGCTGTTACGGGAAGCGACAGTTTATGCTGTTGGTCATGTGACTCCCATCACTGGAGTGTCTGATTGTACGGCGGACGAGTGCCAACTTGCCAAAATACGCTTCGTATCGTGATAGCTACAGGAGATATTTATCATGATACGTATGTGGACATACCGGAGAAGAGTCAAAAGACTGACTAACACAGGATGCCGACGGAACTCGCTATTTAACCTTGGTGCTGTTGGAGCTTGATTGACGCGTTCAATAGAGTCAAGGGTTGTTATGCTGAGACTAATACGGAAAAGCTGGATGACGAACGAAGGAACGATTGTCAATCGAGCGGGTCGGATAGTAACTGAAAAAAGATACCACACATCACAGCATAAAGGAACACTAAATAACGTTCTGAAATAACATTGTAGGAATTTGTTTATTCTTGATTAATTATATAAGCAACGAGTAAATCATAGCAAGCGCGTTGGGTATAACCGTTTTTACTTACCATAAAGAACAGTCGATGTGGTGGCAATTGGTGACAGTATCATTAAAATCGCAGCATCGCCTTCTGCTTGACTGGTCGGAGTTACACAAACATAGAAAGACGAGCTGAAAGACTTGATGAACTGCACACGGATCACTGCTGGTAGTCACAATACACAAAAAGTTCGAAGGGGTCCTCACACTTTTTCCGTTGGATGAGCGAATTTACTTTGACATTGTTTCCAGTTGAATCAGTGGACGAATTGTAACGCGTTTCCAACTCTGACGTTTTTTCCAGTTGCATCAGCAAGGGTCTTTTTAAATGCGTTCCAAACGTTAAGGGTGAATTATCAACACATGCGGAAAGATTTAACCGTAACGGCTTTCGGAACGTCGTACCCTGTACGTCCGTTGTGCCTTGTGCGCCGTGCTATAGAATCATCCTTTAGCATCCAGGTCCTGTATATTAGCAATCCCGGCAAATTCTATCTACCGCCTTTTCCCACTATGTTATCCCGTGGTAAAATCTAGCAGAGAAAGTTGCACTTGGACTGAATCTACTGCATCTAATGCTTTATATACTATGGTCTATGGTGCTTCGCGTTAACCTATGTTATTATTAGACCGAAAAGCATATTTCAGTTCATTCTAGAGGCGTACCGTGAAAACCTCGGTTCATTCTAGAAACGTACCGACAAAGCTACATCAAGACCTTATGGCACGGAGGCCCGACTATAAATGAAAACAGGCGGCGCAGAAAGTCTTTACTTCAGTTACCGTGTACAGTTGTGAGCCATCGATACCAACAATGAATGCTGGGCGTCATAAGCATTATAATGCTATTACAGCGCATATGAACATTTTCAGAGTAGTTTGAACTATGATAAGAAACCTGTTCATGAACATTTCGTTCCTATGTACATTTCGTTCCTATGTACATTTCGTTCCTACGTACATTTTGTTCCTACGTACATTTTGTTCCTACGTACATTTTGTTCCTACGTACATTTTGTTCCTACGTACATTTTGTTCCTACGTACATTTTGTTCCTACGAACATCGCGTCTTTACGAACATCGCGTTTTTACGAACATCGCGTTTTTACGAACATCGCGTTTTTACGAACATCGCGTTTTTACGAACATCGCGTTTTTACGAACATCGCGTTTTTACGAACATCGCGTTTTTACGAACATCGCGTTTTTACGAACATCGCGTTTTTACGAACATCGCGTTTTTACGAACATCGCGTTTTTACGAACATCGCGTTTTTACGAACATCGCGTTTTTACGAACATCGCGTTTTTACGAACATCGCGTTTTTACGAACATCGCGTTTTTACGAACATCGCGTTTTTACGAACATCGCGTTTTTACGAACATCGCGTTTTTACGAACATCGCGTTTTTACGAACATCGCGTTTTTACGAACATCGCGTTTTTACGAACATCGCGTTTTTACGAACATCGCGTTTTTACGAACATCGCGTTTTTACGAACATCGCGTTTTTACGAACATCGCGTTTCTA